TTCAGCCTCACCGAAGTTCTCAGGAGAAGGGCAGCTTCTTTGCCAGAATAGCACACTAGCAGCCTCTAGCCTAGTTCCTGAAAGAGTCCTTGTCCCCTTCTGAAACCTCATGAGCCAGCCCTTCCAGCCGTCAGCCTCTCAGCCTTCTGATCTTTCAAACTCCCTGCAGTAAGCCAGTGAGTCTATTTACAGCATTTTAGGGCTTCTTAAGTTTCTAGCTGCAAACTCTTCCACATTCCCCCCACAAGCCAGTCCCAAGCACTACCAACCACACAATGGCCATGCTTCTCAGTACCAGTTCTATGTATTGGTTAATTTTCTCATTGTTGAGACAAAAAACAAAACAAAAATCCCAGACAAGAAGCCATGAAGGAAGAAAGCACTTATTCTGACTTAGAGTTATGGTAGAGAAGGCATGGCGGAAGGAACAGGAGACTGGCTGGCTATATCGCATCCTCAGTCATGAAGTGGAGGTGAATGCTAGAGTTCAGCTTGCTTTCTATTTTATCTTCTGTCCAAGGCCACAGCCTAAGAAATGATAGGTAAGGCAGGTGTCCCACCTCAATTTCCCCCGATCAAATATTCCCTCACAGACATACCCAGAAGGCCTATCTCCTAAGTGGTTCTAGATCTTGTCAAGCTGACAATCATTATTAACTGTCACATCTGGCCTGTGGTGGGGAAGCTGGTCACACTGGCCACCAGAGCTGGTAGCACTTCCCACTCCCTGCCCCTTGTTACTCCCATCTGTGGTCTTCAGCTGTTCAGTTCAGTGAGCGTTCTGCCTGTGCTGCCATCTCCATTTTGGGCTCTGACCACAACAGATTAGTTGGTGGAAGTGTCATTTGTCTTCCTGGCCCCTCCCTTCTAATTGCACTGTCTCCCCAGCTTCCTCCCTGTGTGGGACAGGAGAGGAGCAGGAGCCTTTGCTTCCCATACTTTGGTCCCAGCAGCTCTCAGCTGGAAAGAAGAGTAAGTTGCTGAGCGAGTCTGTAGATCTGCACCCCAAGGAGTACCTATCAGGTGTGCACAACACCATTTACTCCTTATTTGACCTGTGAGGCAGGACCGGTCATCATTCATTATATAACTGGAATCACTAAGACAGAAAGAAAATGACATACACAAAGTCATGGTAGAGCTGCCACCAGGCCACCAGCTTGCCAGCCTTGGAGATATCTCTTGGTAAGTCCAGCTCTCTGAAAAGAAGCCACATGTGCACCCTTCTAGCTCAGAGCATTCTAAAACCCTTTCTCCATCCTTTATTGGATCCCATGACTTAACAAGCTCTGGACCAAGTAAAACAAGCTGTCAAGTCATCAAAGGGCAGGGCCTGGTGTCCCTAAGACCATAGTTTGTGCTTTGTGGGTGTACCTGTTTCTTTTCTCATCGCTTTGACTGAAAACCTGACAAGAAGCAACTTAGGGGAGGGGGGTTTCTTTGGCTTTCATTTCAAGGGGATTCAGTCCATCTGGGTGGAAAACCAGTCAGGAGGCAGGGAGAGATGAATGCTGGTCCTCATCTTTCCTCTTCATTCAGTTTAAGGCCTTAATGTATGCCGGGGTGCTGCCTTGACATGATGCCTTCAAGGTGAGGTTTCCAGCCTTGACGAAATCAATCTAGAATCACCAGGAAGTTGGTAATCAGTATGAACCATCCAAATGAGCTTTGGATCAAAGAGGTGGTTTCAGCCAGACCCTAACATCATTTTGTAGCAGTCCCTTCAGAGACTTATGAGTTGGAAACAGACATGCAATGCTGTGTCAACATGTCACTTTGTACATATAGATGTTACTGTAAATGACACTCTGCTCACCATCGCATAGGCCTTTGTATCACCTTCATCCAGTGGGCTCTCAGAATTGCTATGGAGAACACATCATATACCTCCACTTTGCAGCAAAGAACACAAAGGTCAGGGAGTTTAAGCACTTTAGTTCAATGAAGAATTGTTTCCCAATGCCAAGTCCCTGCATCCCCGAGATCTGAGACCTGCCACTGTCTGGGGTGTCCTGGCCATGTTGGTGGGTCATTCTGGGATGCTGAAAAGTGCATGTGTGAGCCAACGAAGCTTACCAGCTGGAGACAGCCCAACAGCCTCTGTAATCCCCACAGTGACCATAAACCAGTAGGAACAGTACCTGCTAAGCAGATACAACCTTCAAATGCCCCCCCCATTGACCCTTCCCATGGTCCTCTAAAGTGACCTTCTGGCCTCTACTGACCTGAAGATTGTCCTTGGTTTTCAGTCTCTGTCTTAGAGTTACTATTGCTATGATCAAACACCATGACCAAAAGCAAATTGGGGAAGAAAGGGTTTATTTAGCTTACACTTCCACATCATAGTCCATCACTGAAGGAAGTCAGGACAGGAACTTAGGTGGGGCAGGAAGCTGGAGGCAGGAGCTAATGCAGGGGCCATAGAGGAGTGCTGCTTCCTGGCTTACCCCTCAGGGCTTGTTTAGCCAGTTTTTGTATAGGACCATGGGGCCCCACCCACAAAAACATCAATCACTACTTAAGAAAATGCCCCTCTGGCTTGTCTATAATCTGATCTTACTGAGGCATTTTTCTGGTTGAGGCTCCCTCCTCTCCAGTGACTTTGTCATTAAAATAAAACTAGCCAGCACAGTCTCAAGAAGGAACAGATCCAGGGCTGGGAAGCCTGCATTTAGAGTCTAGGCCTGGGAAGAGGTCAGAGCAGGACCCAGGGCCTGTCCTCACGTTCCCTTGGGCTGCTGCTCTCCCCATTCACTGGACACCTTAGGGGTGTGTGTGTGTGTGTGTGTGTGTGTGTGTGTGTGTGTGTGTTAGTTATATCTCTCTTCCCTTTCCTACCTTTCACCCCTCCCTTTACTGGGAAACTATCAAAGGCCCCCTCTGAGGCTTCCCTCGCTCTGACCTCTCCAAGGCCAACCTCGGGCCTGACTCTAATGACAGACTGCGTGTACAGGACATACTTTCTGGGAATGCATGGGGTCCTTGCCAAGACACAGGAGGCTGCAAGGAACAAAGGGATCATTTCTGGTTGTCCTTCAGCAAGCGTGTGACCATGGCCACTGGCACCAAGATACATGTTCTGGGCACAGGCTGGACTTTGTTCCCACCCACACCCCTTCCTTGTGGAAACTCATGGGCCTCTGTGATTTTGACACACACTTTCCACTCTGTGTTCTCACTTGGAGGATAGGGATGTCAGCTTGGGAGACACCCAAGTTTTCTTCCATCTGTAACTCATTTTGCTCTCCGGACCCCCAAAAGTGTTCGAGGAGGATGACTTAAATTTTGGACCTGGAGAGCGAAGGGTGGCATTGTCCTGGAGCCAGTGTGTCTTTACATCAAAGTTCCCATTGGCAACATTTAACAACCAATAACTTGGAAGCCAAACGTGCTCAGAGAGGCTTGGGGACCTGCTGTTGGCAAGAAGCAGCACCTAATACGTTTGTATCTGTTGACCCCAAGTACAGGCTTACACCCCCCCCCCAGCCCCAGTCCTGCATTGTAAGCAAAAAGGGCAGGTGCTCCTTGATTCATGGCAGTGTTGGGTAGGCTGCTCCCTAGGGGTCAGGGCCTGGAATTAAAGGGTGCTGCTGCTGCTTCTATTTATTTTATTTCACCCATATTTTATTTATGTATATAACTGTTTTGTCTGTTCATGTGTTTGTGCACCACCTGAGTGTGTGGTGCCCATAGAAGTCAGAGGAGGCATTAGATCCCCTGGAACTGGAGTTATAGATGATTGTGAGCCACCATGCTGGTGCTGGGAACCAGGCCTGGGTCCTGTAAATGAACAAGTGCTCCTAACATATGGGCCATCTCTCCAGCCCTGCAGGGCCTCTTCTGTCTAGCTGACTTCTTTATGTGTCAAGAGCCGCTAGGGAAAGAGATTCGTCTTTAGAAATGGCTACAAGATACAAGATTTCAAGAATAGATGTTCCCAGGATGATGACTGGGCTTTGTTTGACTTCTTTTAGCTGTTAATAGTCTCCAAGGAGTGCCCCATTGAGACCTGGGAGCCTCTGTCATTCCCAGAAGGGTAAAGACAGTCCTAGAAGCTCCCTGTGGGGTACCCAGGCTTATGTAAGCTTTTTTATTGTTCTTCTCTAAATTGGCCCTAAGGCTAGGCGTGTAGCTTAGTGGTTTAACATGGATTAAGCGCTGGAGTCCATCCCCAATACTCCCAATAAAATTACAACAGGGGAAAAAAAAAAAAAAAAAAAAAAAAAAAAGACAAACAGCAGGCCTACTTCTCATGGCCTTGGACAGTGATTGACTCTGAGCCCAAACTTCAGCCACCAACCTGCAAATTGGCCTGGGATTTGGGCCTCACAGTGCTGGCAGGAATGAAGGTATTCTAAAAAGAAATTTATGCCTACTGCCTTTGGCTCTCAGACTATTGACCCTAAGAAATTGGAAATTACCCAGGAATTGCATGCTGGGAGAAGGTGCTGAAGCCTGGTGCCAGCTGGGGCAGGGCTTGTCTCCCAGAGAGATCTCACACAATTCTGAGAACTTGTCAGACCTCCTTGCAGGAAAGACTAGAACAGAGACAAAGATGGCTCAGTGCTGGTCAGGGCCACACTTTGACCACACCCTTTTAGTTATATATTCCTCTTGCATTTGGTTTATAGCAAAACCTCATTTTAGGATCCCAATGACGGGTAGGGGTATGGTGTAGTGTGGTTCCCTGTACCTCTTCATGTTTTTCTTCACAATGTGACCACACTGATGAAATCTCCCTTCTCTGTTTTTTCCATTAACACATTTCTTTAATTGATCCATTGCAGACAGGTGACTGGCAAAACTCACCAGGTCTAACTCTTAACTCCAGTAAAAACACTGGCATGTGCAGCCAGGCCCGAGGAAATTGGCAGCTGCCAACTTTGTTGGACCCAGATGCAGATAGGTGGAAAAGAGACAAGGTCTCTTCTGAGGAGGGTAATGAATAAAGTGGGGTCCAGAGGCTCATGTTCACCCTCTCTCCTCTCTCCTCTCCTCAGTACGGCAAGAAGAAGCTGAAATACCTGCCCTACAACCACCAGCATGAATACTTCTTCCTGAGTGAGTTTGGGCCAGAGGTCCCCAACCGCATGTGCTCATCTGTCCCATTTCCTCCCATACCCTTTACAAACTGGCAAAATGACAGCACCCCTATTCAAGAGAAGGTGCCAGCAGCTTGTGCAAACACCTCTGGACCTGTTACTTTCATCGAGACTCCCAGGCACCTGACTGTTAGCGGCCCTGCGGGTGGTGTCCAGCTGGCTCCTTTGCCTCTGACAGGCCGTCTGTTTTCTTACAGTTGGGCCGCCGCTGCTCATCCCCATGTACTTCCAGTACCAGATCATCATGACCATGATTAGCCGCAGGGACTGGGTGGTAAGTCAAGTGGTGCTGCTGGTGGTGGGTGTCACTGGGCCTGCAAATCCCCACGCATCTCTCCCATAGCATGCCCGTTCTAAAGACACCTCCAGTACATACACACAGGGCATCCAACTGGCAGTCATTGCCCTAGCTGAGTCCCTTAGAAAGTTCCCAAAGGCAGTGTGACAAGAGACTAACACAGCCCACTGAGAGTGGAGGGCCTCAGCAATAGAAACATATTTTCTCACTCACTGGAGGCCAGAAGTCTAAAATCAGTTGACAGCAGCCTGGGGAGGGGAGTGGGAGGGTCCAGGCCCCTCTGCTTGATGGGAAGATTTGCCTGTGTATCATCTCCCTTCTAGGCCTGTGTATCTGTGGTCAGGGCGTTCCCCTATTTTTCTAATGTATATTTGTGTGTGTCTATAGGTACATGCATGTGTGTGGGTGTCCTTGCATGTGTGTGCATGTGGAGGCCAAATGACAACTGTCTTAGTCACTTTTCTGTTGCTATGACAAGACACTACGGCCAAGGTGATTTATAGAAGGAAAAGTTTAGTGGGGGCATACAGTTTCAGAGGGTGAGAGTCCATGACTACCATGGCAGGCAGCAGGCAGCAGGCAGCAGGCAGGCATGGTCCTGGAGTAGTAGCTAAGAGCTCAAACCTTGAAACAGAGCTATGAGGCAGAGTGTTAATTGGGTATATTGTGAACTTTTGAAGCCTCAAAACCCATCCCCAGTGGCACACCTCCTTCAACAAGGTCACACTTCCTAATTCTTCCCAAATAGTTTCACCAGGTAGGAGCCAAGCATTCAACTATATGAGCCTCTGCAGGGGCATTCTCATTCAGACCACCACAGAAACTGCTGGGTTTCTCACTGCCCTGGAGATTAGGCTAGACTATCCAACAAGCCCCAGGATCTGCCTTACCCTACCTCCCCAGTACCAGGATTACAAGTGTGTGCCATGGTGCCCAGCTTTTGTATGTAGGCTTTGGGTATTAGATAGAGTTGCAAGCCCGTTACCAAATGAGCTGTACCACTAGCCTTGTTCCTTCCTTATAGGATGACACTAGTTCTATTGCATTAGGACCCATTGGGATGATCTTGCCTTCATGAGTTCATTAGCAAGGACTTTAGCAATGTCTAAAGACACTGCCTTTTGAGGGGCTGGAGTCAGAATGTCAGTGTATGAGTTTGGAAGGGTGTTGGAGTTTTCTGAAAGAACAGAACTGATTAAATGAATACCACACACACACACACACACACACACACACACACACACACACACACCAGAGTGGCTTATAGGCAGTGGTTAGAGTAGTCTCCTGGCAGAAAAACCAAGAATCTGGTAGTTGTCCAGCCCGTGAGACTGGATGTCTCAGCAGTCTCAGTTTGGTGCTGGAGTCCCAGAGACTTCCTAGACAGTAGATTCTAACATCAATGAAGGAATGCCACAGCAAAAGGATAGGTGAGCTTGCCAGCAAGAGTGTGGGCAGGCAGGAAAAAGCAAAAGCTTCCTTCTTCTGTGGTTCTTTTAGTTGATTCCAGATGTAATCAAGTTGACAACCAAGATTAGCCATCACAATGGGCATGTTCCTACCCAAAACATCAGGCTTAGAGGTACCTTCAGGGAGGGACGCAGGCTGTGTTTGAGATGGCAAGCTTGGGTTTGCATTGTAATACAGTTGTGATTTTTGTACAAAACAAGTAGCTACCCATGCATAGTAAGCTCTAAGGAGGAGTCACCACCACAAGCAGAGTTAGCTGCGATGGAAACATGGTGCCTGCACTCAGGAGAGAACAGAAAAGTTCACAGCCACTTAATGTGTGTTCTTAGATTTTTAAAATCACATCAGTAGCTGGATGTGGTAGCACATGCCTTTAATCCCAGCATTGTGAGACAAAGAGGCAGATGGATCACTATGAGTTTAAAGCTAGCCTGGTCGAATAGTGAGAGCGCCAGACCAGCCAGGATTACAAGATAAGACTCTCTCAAAACAAAACAAACAACAACAGCAAAACAAAAACAAACAAAAAATCCCATATTATCAATGAGAACAACTACAAAGTTTCACAATGAGAATTACTCAGACGGAAAGTTTGTGCCTTGCCCAATATGACGAAGGGATACAGTGAACTCCAGATGCCACATTCTTGTATCCTCCCCACACTGAATCACCTCTCTCTCTCACACAACAGCACCTCATATCTGGAGTGCATCTTAGAGCCTCCCTCCCTCCCTCCCCCCCTCTCTCTGTGTGTATGATACCTACACATGCACACAACATGTACAGCTACTATGTTTTGTCATAAGCATTGCAGTTACTATGTGCTCATGCTTGTGGTGGTCAGATGACAACCTTGGGTGTCATCCATAGGAATGCCATCTATATCTCCTTTGAGACAGGGTCTCCCACTGGCCTGGAGCTCATTAATTGGGCTAGGCTGGCTGCCAGAGAGCCCTAGCAATCTTCCTGATCCTGTTTCCTCAGTGCTGGGATTATAAGCACACATCACCATTCATGCGGAGGATTCTGGGGGATCAAACGCAGGTCCTTAGTTGTGAGAAAATGGGCCTTCTCTATATCCCTAGATCTTGTGTGTGTGTGTGTGTGTGTGTGTGTGTGTGTGTGTGTGTGTGTGTGTTGTTTGTTCCACAAAGAACAAAGGATTAACTAGGAAGAGCAGGAAGGAAAATCAAGCCATGTCCCTCAAGAGCATCTGAAGGCAGAGCTGGGAGAATATGAGAGACCCCCAGGCCTTGCATCCAGAGCAATTGTCACCAGGTCCTGGGCTACCGATATATATTAAAGATCAGAAGAAACAAATAGGCCAAATAGATTTTTATTCAGGGAGAAATAACTCACAACATAGACAGATGAACACCAGCAGGTTCCTGGGCCATTGGAGACACTTATGATGATCAGATTTAGCAGTGGGAAGATGATGCCAGCCCAGCGTCTAGCCAAGAAGGGTGATAAACATCCCACAAAGCACAGAAGTCCCATGGTGAAGAATCATCTTGTACATCTTGTAGTGGCACATACCGTGAGGGCTGGGAGACCCTAGCCTGGAGGATGGAGATGAGAAGCCCCAAGAGTCTGAAAGACTGCTCACAATGCAGCATGGGGTACCTGCAGCAGCACCTGGGATACTTTTCAGACCCCACTTTCCTGGGACCAATTATCCATGGCTACTTACCTTTGTAGTCTCCCTGTTGTTTTCCCAGCCTTCACCTCTCCATACATTTATTTATTTACTTATTTAATTTTGAAATAGGACCTTACTGTGTGCCCAAACTAGCTTTGAACTCACAATCTTCCTGCCTCTACTTCCCAAGCCATGCCTCTGGCTGTACATTTATTTCTTTGTGTGTATGTGTGTGTGTGTGTGTGCCACATCCTACAAATATGCACACACATATACATATTTACTTATGCCCTTCATTTATGCAGTAGATTAACATGGGGCTGAGGATTGGCTCAGAGGCAGAGTGCTTGCCTAGCATGCATAAGACCAGGAGTTCAAACTCAACCCAGAAAAAAAAAAAATGAAAGGATGATCAAAGTATGCCTGGAGCTTGCTGCGCCTACTCCTCTTGATCTCCTGCCAGATCTGAGCATCTTGTCTCCAGTTACTCCTAGCTGTTGCAACCGTTCTTTCACCATCCCTCCTGAGCTCATCCCTTTCCTACTTAGCTGATAGCACTCTGACAACCAGGAATGGTGCCAGGAGCCAGCCTCAATTCCTTGCAGCCAAGAAAGCACTGTCTAGGGTCTAGGGTCACCCTTGTTCTCTAAATTGTTCTGGAACCCCCCCCCCCATGTCTTCATCATCAATGTGGTCCTGGTTTTGTTCTCCATTTTGTGCCCAAACTAAGACCAATGTGCCAGATTCTATTGTCATTTCAAGATCTTTGGTTTGGTTTTGGTTTTGTCTGCATGTGTATCTGTGCACTGCCTGGGGCCCACAGAGGCCAGAAGAGGACATCAGGTCACCTGGAACTAGGTTTACAACAGATGCCTGTGAGCCTTTGTACAGGCTCTGGGAATTGAACCTATGTCTTCTGGAAGAGTAGCCAGTGCTTTTAACCAGTGGACCACCTCTCCAGCCTCTCTTTAGTGTTTTCCCACTGCCTTGGAGTGGCTGATCCTTGATGAAATAACCTTCTGATGAGCAAAGGCTGGGCATGAGCATTCCTGATGGCAGTTTGTGCAAAGGCCCCGAGGGAGCCAGGTCAGCGTGCTGAGGCAGAGGCTTCTGGATCCTGCAGTGCTATATGGAGGGCTTGGAGCAGAGCTGGATATGCTCAGACCACAGGTCATTAGTTGTCCTGGATGCATGAGAACCATCAGCAGGAGAGCAAAGGGAGGCTCTTGCTAAGTGGCAGGGGATGGAGAGATGTGGATTTCTCTGCAGAATTTCTCTGCCTGTGGCAGAGGCTTCCCAGGAGAGACATCCAAGCTTAGGACCTTGCTACCAATCTTGAGGAGGGGCAGACAAAGTGATAAGGGGAGAGGGCCCAAGAAGAGAGTCCAACATGAGAAATGACCTGGGTCAGGGTTGCAGGGAGAGGTGGCGTGTCTCCTGTCCCTTTCCCTCCTAAGAAAGGAAGGAAATCCAAGTGCCTGAGCAGAGGCAAGGCTGAGGATGGACAGCAATCTGGCCACATGTTGGGGACTCACATTACAATCATTGGACCTGCTGACTACCTCCTAGCCAATATCTCATTTCCTTCCTGAAACTCACCAAGGCAAACCCCATGCAAACAGGTGGTTTAGGCAAGTGTCTGACTGTGTATGGCCCTGTGTCCCAACTTCCTAGCAGCCTGCTGTGGTTTCTGAGCACCTATGCCAAGCAGTGTGAGCTGTGTGTATACACGCCTCTGTGGTAAGTAGGGAGGGGCAGCTTAAGTCTAATCTTGTTTCCTTGCAGGACTTGGCCTGGGCCATCAGCTACTATGTGCGTTTTTTCTACACCTACATCCCTTTCTATGGCATCCTGGGAGCCCTGGTTTTCCTCAACTTTATCAGGTACCCCAGATTTGCTGGCTCACCCTGTGCATTTGAGAGCACTGACTTTGATGGGGCTGTGATGTGAACCCTGTACCTGTCATGGGGGTAGAGTGGTTACAGTGGGTCTGTTTCTGTGTGACTGCCTGTCCCCCACCCTGAGGCTTCAGCACTGAGCTGCACCGTCTTCTAGGTTCCTGGAGAGCCACTGGTTTGTGTGGGTCACACAGATGAACCACATCGTCATGGAGATTGATCTCGATCACTACCGGGACTGGTTCAGCAGCCAGGTGAGGGGCGGCAAAGGCAAAGCCTACAAAGCCTGAACCCCGCTGCCCACGCCTTCACCCAGACTTGGCTGCCTCAGTGGATCCAGGACTGTGCTGGGCTTCCTCAGGACTGCTTGTAGCCTGTTGGCAGCTTCAGAGTTCAGCAAGAAAGGGAGGTGGGAAGATAAGGGATGTAGCTCAGCTGGTGCTTGCATACTGTCCTGGGTTAGACCTCTGGCACCCAGTAAACCCAGTGTGCCCATATCTGTAATCTTAGTACTTGGGAAGTGGAGACAGAAGCATCAGGAGTCCAAGGCAAGACTGAGTTAAAAACAACACACAAGAAGATATTGAAGGAATGGGAGGAATCTTCCAGAGGATCCTCAGGGAATCTGGGTGGGCTGAGGCTTCCAGGTAGAACAGTATGACCTAGAGAGGTGGCCCTGAGACCCTGGGTAAGGCGACCTTTACGAGGGAAGTTGAGGTCCTGTGGTTTCATTCTTACCCCCAGCCATTTATTCCCTGTCCCCTCTGCAGCTGGCAGCCACCTGCAATGTGGAACAGTCCTTCTTCAATGACTGGTTCAGCGGGCACCTCAACTTCCAGATTGAACACCAGTGAGTGTGGCCTAGCAAGTCTGAGGGAGAGGGTAGACAAGGAATGGGGGACAGTGGTCACCAGCCCCCAGGCCAAGGGCACCATGCAGGTTTATCTTCTCTTGTCAGCAAGGCCACTAACCCATCTGAGAACGTGGTTGGGCAGGAGAGGGGCTCTGGGATCAACGTGTCCTGGGGCATTGTTATCCAGGCCCTGTGCCACACATCCTGGGGACTGCGCTCCTTCATGTAAGGCCACTTTGCAGATACCGAAAGCTTGCAAGACCATCTCACAGTCGTATAGTGCTCCCAACGCTGAGAGACTCACTCCAGGTCAATTGACTAGGAAACTGAGGTCCTGCTAGATAGCTGTGTGGTGCACAGACGGCTAAAGGACTGTCACTAGTGCATCTGCCTTTGTCTCATCTTTTATTATTCTTCTCACCTCATCTCCCATTTGTTTCCATTCTTTCTCTTTACTTTTTTTTTTTTTTTTTTTTTTTTTTGGGGAATTGAATTTACAGGCGTCTTCTGCCCTGTCCTCCCAAGTGATGAGACCACAGGCATGAACCTTGATACTCAGATTTGTTTCTCTTTTCAAAAAAAAAAAACACAAGACCCTTGTCTCTGCTGTGCACTACCACTGTGGCTTTCTGGAGTGCCCCTGCTCATAAATTGCCCCTCTGCACATCCCCAGTAGCCCCCGTAGACAGATGGTAAGAGTCCATAGTCTTACCCTGGTTGCAGATAGGGCCTCAGCCTGCCTGCCTCCCTGGGCTGTAGGGAGAGGCGCGAGCATGGGTCCATTGCTCTCCCTCTGCTCACTTGTCTCCTCAGCCTCTTCCCCACCATGCCACGGCACAACTTGCACAAGATCGCTCCACTAGTGAAGTCTCTCTGCGCCAAGCACGGCATCAAGTACCAGGAGAAGCCACTGCTGAGGGCCCTGCTGGACATTGTGAGGTGAGGTGGCAGGTGCTGAGGTTCTGAGGCATCAGAAGGGGCCAGAGAGGCGGTGGGGTCGAAGAGGTGAGAGGCACATGGCTGGCCTTACTCACAGTAGAGATTCTAGCTCACAGTGGGGACCACTGGCCTCTGGTCCACCCAGGGCTGGAAAAGGACCTCCCCTCTCTCCTTCCCCAGGAGTTTCCCTGGGGAGCATCGGTCAGTAGCAGAAATGAGTAGCATGACTTCCTTCATGTCTCAGTCTAGAAGCCTTGGTTCCTTTCTGTCCTGGTTCCTGAGCCCTGGTCCTCTCTCTCTTTGCAGTTCCCTGAAGAAGTCTGGGGAGCTGTGGCTGGATGCTTACCTCCATAAATGACACAGCAGTCCTTGGGCCACCCTCGGGGATGGGCACAGTTGGGGTAATGGCCAGAGGGAGGGGAGGGCTTTTGTTCTGAAGGGTTCTCATGAGACTGAAGTGTCCACTGGCTCACATTCCCCATGCTTGGTCCTCCGCTCTCTCTTGTCCTTCTTTCCACACCCCCATCCTATCCTCATGGGTTCCCTTTTGTCAGCCCTAACCCTGTCCCCTCTGCCTCCCAGGCCCTTCTCCCAAAGAGCAGGAGAGAAGTGGCTCAGGCAGGTGGCTGCATCTCTGCCTCTAACTTCTGCATCTAAAGATCCCTGGTATGGTATGAGACTGCTCCTCGTGGCCTAGCCACCAGACCTTAGTCCACACTCCCTTCTATCCCACAGACACGCTGGGGGTCTGTGGAGCAGGGTCTAGGACTTGGCTCTACACTCCCTGTCTGCCTATGGTCTGGTTGTTTGGATGAAGACATGCTTTGTGTTCTGGGTGTCCTTCCCATGACTGGGATTGGTACATAGGGCCTCCCTCCAGCTGCCCAGGGCCAACTTAGACCTTGAGACGCAAGAAAAAGTCCTCCCATGCCCACCATCACAGCTCTAGGCCCTAGGGTTGCGAAGGTTCTATTTCACCATCTACCCAACTCCAGAAACCAAAGGGAATGTCCCCTGTGTGAGCTTAGCTGAGGCAGTGGCCAGATTGAAGGAGGGACTGGCCAGCCTAGAGCCATAACCTATCTTTCACTCCGGCCAGATGCTTCTTAGTTCAAAACTCCAAGATTCTAGGGTGGTCAGACCTTTTCCAAATCCTCTGGCCAGTCCCTGATGTTTGGTCTAGGGAACATGGACCTTGCAGGGGAGCCCCTGAGCTGCTCTCCCCAGGACAGCATGGCCAGCATTGGCTCTTTCCTATTTTTACAATTTTGTTTGTTTGTTTATTTTAGGTGTTGTTGTATTAACATTTCCTACAGAATGCTTTTGATAGGAGGGTAACAGAGGGCTGGGCTTTAGGACAATCTACCTTTACCAGATGCCCTTGCCAGGCTCCCCTAAGGCCCTTTGGGTAGAGCTAGGCTTTGCCATCAAGGCCACTGTATAAGATGTGGCTTGAGGTTGCTGCTATCAGGGCAGGAGAAGCAGGGTGAGGTGGGGTGTCTCACGAGGGCTGTTGGCAGTGACCAGTGAGGATCAAGCAAGAGTGTGGAGGGGAGGGGAGGTCAGGGAGGCTGAGGGCATGAGGGAAGTGTAAGGGCGGGTGGGGTGGGGGGGTGTCAGCTGTATCAAGAAGGGACCCATGCTGTGTCATCCAATCTAATGGACTAACCAATATTTAAATTGGAGAAGAGGCTCAGCCTGCACTGGGGAAGCCCTCCAGGACCCCCAGCCAAGAGAGACCAACTGCTTGTTGATCTACAGAGGCAGAGAACCCAGAAGGAGTGGATCATAATTTCTATCACATTGTTTCCCCACCTCTACTTTTGTTTTAGGAAATAAAAAAAAAAAAAAAAGTAATTTTATTCTCACTTGCCTGGAGCTCAGTAAGATCATTAGATAGCTAATGCTCTTGTACGCTAATGTCACTGGTACGGTAATGCAAGGTCTGGGAGGAAGGGACACACTTGCTCCACAGGAGAAAGGCCTGACTGTTACGGCAAGTAGCGAACGGAACCCCTGTCCTCCCTAGGAGAGGCAGCGAAGGTTCTGGAGGCAGGCTTCTATTTTGTGTTGCTGTGCCAAGTGGAGGCCTGGTGAGTCTCTGCATCCTGGGGAGGGCCTGTGCCATCCTAGGCCTGGTTACTCTGGTCTGAGGTCTGTCTGACCAGCCAGGAAACCCAGAATAATCTTCGCGGGAGGCACTTGCCCAGTTCACCCTGTGGCTGGGCCCACGCTGCTGCTCTCTGAGCATCCATCTCCGCCAGGTGCAGTGGGCCATGTCACTCCAGTTTTACTGGAAAAGAGCCATTAGGCACTTGGTGACCAACACTCCAGGGGTTCTTTGCTGGCCTTATAGCTGCTCCCAGAAAGTTCAGGAAGAACTCGGGCACAGATCTCATTCCCAGGGATGACCAAGACCTAGCCATATATGTACAGGATAGTAGCCACTGTGTGGGAGTAATCACCAGGGACTACACTGCCTAGAACAGGGCCTGGGGTGGCAGACATTATCACCGATCCACTGAGTGGCCCTGGTGAGTTCTCTGCCACCTCATCTCTAGGACCCTGGGCGCCACAGTTTGCACACTGAAGAAAAGAAAGGCTTGGGCTACAAAGACTCCAAGGCTGCTGACTTTTGCCCTTCACTTTGAGCCCTGGCCTCACCTATGTTTTTCTTCCACTTGATTCTTGGGCTGGACCTGGACACCCAATACCCCGTATGACTCAGGCCAAACCCTGGCTGCCAACTGAAACTAGGGCCTATGGCATCTGTCACCCAGAGATCCAGGGGGCAGGAGGGCGATTGAAGGGACACTGCAGGGCTAGGCGGTCTGAGCTGTGAAGGTACCAGGGAAATCTAGGCCCGCATCCTTGAGCTTCTGTCTTCTCTGTGATAACTATCTTACCAAACCTCACACACACACTCCTAGATCCCATCTTGCCCTTGAGCACTACCAAAGGTGAGGACACCCATGTCTGCTCCTCTCGTTACAGTGCTCGACTGAAACTCTTGACCAATATCTCCAAATCTGTGGGGTTCTATCCCCTACAAAAGTTATGACCCTAATATTCAAAGCCCAGAGTAATCATACCCTAACATCTCCCAGGCCAAGACGCTAAGACCAGAGGGGGGGACAGTACTCACCCTGAGCCACTGCAGTGACAGCAGATACCTCAGAGCACACATGGGCAATTCATGCTTCTAGCCCAGTTGGTCTGGCCATCTCTTCCCCTCTCCCCCATTATGCCAAATGTCACAAGAGGGCCGGCAGTTAGTCCAGGTGGAGGAGATGATAAGGAGTAAGGTGCTACTGAAAAAATCCCTACCAGCATGTGCCAGGCACCAGCCCCAGCCCCAGCTGGAACAGCCTGGATATCTGTGCATGGGTATCTGTGTATGGCTGGAGGTGATCAGCAGCTTGATGAGCTCTTCATATATCTAGCTGAACACATGGGAGCTTTCAGGGCCACTGGGGCTGGGCAGTGCTCTAGCAAGGAGGTTTGGGACAGAAGTTGTAGCCATTTGGACTACTTTGAACTACCATGCCTTGATCCCCTAATGCTCAGCTGGCTTTGCTATGCTGACTTGGAAAGGACTTGAGGACAGCTGTTGTAAGATGGACTAGACAACAGTGGGTCCCTGAGGACCATCTGGTGACCTGTGAATGGGTTGGAGGAGATTTGTTATAGGTTCTGGGTACCAGTGTTCTTTTGATTGACAGGATTTTACAATCCTAGCCAGACTGGCTTTACTGTAAATGGAACGCACAGCCACCCAATGTTTTAGGACATCACAATCATGGCCCTACTGCCTTCTGCTGTCATCAGTGTTTTTTCTTTGGACTTGGAAGATATTTGGGTCTTTCTTCAAACCATTTGACTCAAGAGCTAATATTCAAGAGAAGAAGCCGGGCAGTGGCGCACGCCTTTAATCCCAGCACTCGGGAGGCAGAGGAAGGTGGATCTCTGAGTTCGAGACCAGCCTGGTCTACAAGAGCTAGTTCCAGGCCAGTCTCCAAAGCCACAGAGAAACCCTGCCTGGAAAAACAAAAGAGAGAGAGAGAGAGGGGGAGAGAGAGAGCCAGTCACAGGAAGTAGGACTGGGAAAGTACCGAGGTCTTTAAGGACACAATGTGCTTGCACAGTGTCCTTTCTCAGGGCCTTTATCTCCCCACCGCCAGCCACACCCACAAAGGCAGAGGCTGCTTCTGGTGAGCTGGCCACTGGAGACTCAGCTGTTGGTAGACTGAAAGAACAAACAAGCCATGGCTTCCCCCAGGAAGCTTTATTTCTGAACCCAGGATTGTTGTAGTCAGTAAAAAGGGCGACAACCAAGGCCTTTTCCTGTCCCATTGATGAGTATGGTCTATGATCTCTGCATCTTTGCTCTGAGAAAGCATACAGGCAGGGAGGTGGGACTCAGCTGAGCAGAGGTGACCCACTGCCAAGAGCTACAGCATAGATGACAGAGAGGAAGAAGGGACAAAGGTGACCTGTCAGTAATGGGCTCCAGGCAGAAGGAAGAGACCTAAAGGCCGGGGTCTCTGTGGGATATTTTATTAGATCACTCTGGATTTGGAGGGAGAGTGAACTCTTCTGAGCCACCACTAGGGGCAGCATGGAACACAGTCCACACTGCACTTGTGTGCATACCCCTGGGTGGTGCTGCAGGTCCAGTGATTACTCTGAACAGGCCATGTCTCTAGGCATGTCAGGGTACCGACAGAACTCTGACCATCAGCCAGTGTGGGGACTAGGTGCTGCCCTCCAGAGCTCTTCCTGGATTGGCCATACCTATCTGGCACCAAGGGTTATCAAGATTTGGATGGAGAGGTGACTTCTTGAAGTGGGAACAGTCAGTACAGAAAGACAGTGTGACAAACTCTGGATATAAGAAATTTGCTTTTGAAGTAGGAAGTGGTTTCTTTTTTAGTGTTAGGGCTTAAACTGAGGGCCTACACATGGTAGACTAACAATCTTACTACTGAGTTATTGCCTCAGACCCTTAAAATACCATCTTGAGACAGGATTTCATTAAGTTGCCTTGACTGCCTTTGAACCTGTGATCCTCCTGCCTCAGCCTAATTAGCTTGGATTACAGGCATGTGTACAGGACACCTTTCTAGGGATATTACCTGAGGAGGAAAGTGAAGTCCAGAGAGAGCAAAGGGCTTGTCTCGGAGCACAAAGTTAGCCCAGGGGTATGGGGTTACGTGCATAAGGTTTATAAATACACCTCTGAGTCCAGCCTTTTGCTAAGGGCCTTCCTGGGACAACATTTTTATTGCTCACCACTTTGGAAGTGATACTTCGGCTTTGAGAGCTTGAATTTCTTCCCTGAGGTCAGGCAGCCGTAAGTCCTAGCAGACGCACGATTTAGCCCTCCACCCACCCCCATCCACCTAATCCCAGAGAAAGGGAGATGGAAACTAAATGGGAATGATCAAGGTAAGACCC